TCCTGGTGGTCAGCGCACGTCATAGTGACTGGTTGTTTGGTTGTTCTGCCGTTCGGTCTATTTGCATATTAGGGTTTTATATATATAGATTTCGGTGGTTCTCAGTGTGTAAAGTGATGTTATTTATTCACTACAAACACTATTAGGAGTTGTAAATGTGAGTAGTAGTAAAAACCCCAAAACAGTGACCTTAGCTCTCTTTTCTTGTATATTTCATGTCGCTAGGATGTTTTATTATGAAGTCACTCAGCTATGGGTAGAGGGACAGACAGACTGCTTAGGAAATATTCAGTTACAAAGAAGCATTGGCCTGAAGGAAGTGAAGGAGAAGGCAGCTTACAAATTGCAGCTCATTGTTTGCTTACACAGATGGACTCTTCTGTTCAATCATCATGATTTGAAACAGTATCGGCCCACCCTCCACTGAATGGCCCCCTCATTTCCATGCCTTCTCCCTCTGCAGACATATAATTCTATTTGGCTCCACTAGTAACATCTTTTTGATACCCTCTCTTCCAGTGTTTCTAGTGCTTTCCAACCTTTTATGTCATGCTACACCTAGAAAGAATGATAATATTGATACAACACAATGGAATAAACTGGAGGAAACTCAAAGGCATCTATCTGTGGCAGGAATTAGTGGAAATTTTACATCTTTATAGTATAAAATTATAAGAAGATTATGTAAACTTTTAAAAAATTAGAAAAATAGTAAGTATGAAATTTGTATGAAACTTCCAAATAAAACCTTTTCAAGTTTCTTATTGGGAAACCTGAACTTCTTTCCATGAATATCATTTTTTTCATGTCAGCTTTTATGCCTAACGTGACTCTGAGTGAAACGTCTCTGAGTAAGACTTTAATAATGATCTCTTCAAGATGTCTAAATGATGCGCTCAAATTTCTTTCTAGTTACCATGATTTAAAACTTTTCAGGGGCTGGTGATAAAAATTTAAAGTCATTTCCCAATCATTCACAATTTACACCTGTTGAAATGCAAATCAAAAACATACTGAGAGATCACTTCACACCTGTTAGGGTGGCTGTTTCCAAAAAGGCAAGAGATAACAAATGTGAAGAAAGGGAACCCTTTTCAAACTGTTGGTGGGAAGGTAACCTTGTGTAGCCACTATGGGAAACACCATGGAGGTTGTCTGGCATACAATGCCACTTCAAGCCCAGTCCAAAGGCCAGTTTTGCCCAGTTTTAACATTAAAACAGAACTACCTTCTGACCCAGCAATTCTATTCCTGGGCATATATCCAAAGGAAATAAAACCATTATCTCAAAGATATATCTCTACCCCCATGTTCATTGCAGCATCATTCACAATAGCCAAGATGTGGAAATGACCGAAGTGTCTGCCAATGGATGAATGGGTGAAAAAAATGTGGTGTAGAGGTACACAATGGAATATTAATCAGCCTTAAAAAAGGAAACCCCACTATTTGTGACAACATGGATGGAACTTGAGTGCATTATGCTAAGTAAGTGAGACAGAAAAAAAACCCAGATACTGCATAGCATCTTACATGTGGGGGGAAATGTCAAACTCATAGAAACAGCGAGTTGGAAAGCAGTTGTCAGGGATGAGGGGGTTGGGAAAATAGAGAGAGGTGGGTAAAAGAATCCACAGTTTCAGTTATAAGATGAATGATGTCTGAGGATCTAATGTTTAAGGTCGCGAATACAGTTGATAACCCTGGATTGTACAACTGCATTTGCTAAGAGAGTAGAATTTTAAAATTCCCACCAAAAAAAGAACAAAAAAAGTAAACATGTGAGGCCAAGGAGGTGATAATTAACTCCATGGGGGTGGTGGTGAGTCTTTTCACAATGTATATGTACATCAAGTCATCATGCTGTACATTTTAAATATCTCACAGTTTTGTCAATAATACCTCAATAAAGTTGAAAACACCCAAATTTATACCCGTTGAAATTATATTCAAAGAGCCTCACATATTCTTTGTTAAACGAATGTCGCTTTCTTGCTTTGACAGATACTGAAATGTCTCGCGATAATACAAATGTATTCCTAGCGTTCCGCGTGCAGATGCTTCCTCGCTGTCATCACAAAGCCCCACACAGAAGGCGGCTTGAAGGAACGGAAATGTATCCGCTCACAGTCCAGAGGCGAGAAGTCCAAAATCCAGGTGTGGGCAGGGTAGGTTTCCTCTGAGAGCAGGAGGGGGACTGCCTTAGGCCTCTCCCCGCTTCCCGGCGAGGGCGGTGGCCGCACCACGCCCAGCTCTGCCTCCCTCTTCGCAAGGTGCTCTCCCTGGGTGTCCGCCTCTGTGTCTCCTCTTCTTGTAAGGACACCATATGGGATTAGGGGCCCGCCCTATTCCTGTATGACCTCATCTTCACTCATTACATCTGCAGCGACCCTATTTCCAAATGTCACATTCCGATGTACTGAGGGTTGGGACTTCAAGATATCTTGGGGGGGGGGGCGAGGGGGGGAACAATGCAACCCATAACATCATGGAATTTTTTCAAAAGCAAGCATTTCAAAACAACAAGGACTCTTTGATTCGCGGAGTAGACACCCATGTTAGAGCAGTCACCCTGAGCCCACTTGGACACCATGAAAATAGTGCACCAGTAGCCAAAGGGAGAGACACAGTCCATATCCCATATCTGTGAAGACAGAGATTTGAGATTCTTGGAGTCTGTTTTCTGCCTCCCGCCTTCAACACCAACCTGCTATGCTTTGAGCTCCTGAAACACGACCTCCCCCAGCTGACTCATGAGCCTTATTCAGGGAGGCCACTGCTGGAGGACCCCCTGAGGCAGCCAGTGCCTGACCCCACTCGACTCCACCCTGGAAGTTCCCACTGTGGCTGCTTTGTGGCTGGAGAGACTAGCCTGGGGCTCCAGCCTCCGAACCTGCCTCCAGACCGGTGGCTGTCACTGAGGCACGCCCCAGGCTCCTGTGTGGCTCGCTCACAGGCCCTGCTGCAGCCCCTTGTGGCCAAGTTCTCTTCTCCTGCCTTGGCCTCTGGTCTGTTTCTACTTCTCTGACGGTTCCTGCCCCACTTCCTTTGCTGGTTCCTGGCTTTCCACCTAGTCCTGAAACGTCGGTGTCGCCCAGCGCTGACCTCAGCGCCGCTTGCTGGCTGACGGTTTTACTCCTGCAGGTTGGACCATGAGCCCATGGGCACCCACATCTCCTTGGCCACTTACCCCGAGCTTCAGACTGTACCTCCAGGAGCATGGAAGCTTCACAGGTGCCCACATTTCACATGTTCCTGCCCACCTCTCCCAGCTGAGTTCCCTGTGCCCTCCCATCCCCTTCTGACTCAGTTCCTGACTCTTCCATTCACAGGTTGGCCAGCCCGAAGGTAAGCAGCACCTGCGCTGGCCCGCTTTCTGCTACCCAGCGGAGTTCATCGGGCACCGTGTCCACGTTCCTTGGGTTGGTTTGCAAGGGCCCTGGTGAATTTGTCCGTCTCCTTCCTCCCCGGCCAGATCTCCACACCCAGCTGCTCTTTTTCAGCCAAACACAATCGTGTGCAGCTTTCTGATTTCCTCACTCCTCTATGCCCGTGCACTCGCTCCTCCCTCTGTCTACTTTCTGTCCCGTCTACCTTTACATACATCCTTCAAGATGCAACTCAAATGTCACTTCATTGGTTCACACAGATGGCGTCACCTCTGCACCAGGGGGTCATAAATCAGGTTTTCTCTTACACAATTTAAATCTCTCAAGTACTATTAGTCATTTTGATGTTAGCTTATTAGTCACTAGTGTACTTTTTAGTCACATCGGAATTAACGTCTAGAGCAGTGGTTCTCAACCTTGGCTGCACATTAGAATCACCTGGGAATCTTTATAAAATCCTGATTTCTGGGCCTCATCCTCCGGAAATTCTGTTTCTTTGTTATGGGGTGGGGCCACAACATTAGTAACAAAGAAACAGAATTTCCGGAGGATGAGGCCCAGAAATCAGGATTTTAAAAAGATTCCCAGGTGATTCTAATGTGCAGCCAAGGTTGAGAACCACTGATCTATAGACCCCCACACGCACCTGCTGAATCAGAAGCTGTGAGGGTGGGGCCCAGCAATCTGTGTTTTAACAAGTTTCCCAGGTGATTCTGGTGCCGGCTACAATTTGAGAGCTGTTAGTCTAGATCTGGCCTCAAGGGAAAGGGAAGATGGAATTGCGTTGCTCATTTGGCCTCTGTAGGCAGCTAATGGGCTTCCCTTGGCCAAGACCAGCCCTCTGTCCTGCCTCTCTCCCAGGTGCAGCCATTCACCTGCCTGACTCACACGTATGCTGAGCGTGGGTTCTCAGCAGAAAGACTGTCAAATACTTTCTGAATGGAACAGAAATTGGTCTTCAAATCAGAAAGGTGGTACTTATAACTCAGACTCTTTTTCTTTTTCATTTCACTGGTAGGACTTTACTTGTTTCAAATTATTGGCCTATTATTTGATCAATTGCCTTTCCTGACCTCTCATTCAATGGCAAACTAGCCAACATCATACGTGTGTGTGTGTGTGTGTGTGTGTGTGTGT